CCATGAGAACACGAAATCGGCCAGTAGGAATTCACTGAAGGCTTCACGGAATGTACGAGTAATTATGTGACTCTATAATCTGCTCAAACTCGTCGGTCACCTCTGTCCTGGAACATTATCACGCACATATTCTGGAACTCTCAGGGCCGAGTTATGTATATATTACGAGCACGCCTTCCGTTTGGGATGGAACGCAGTTAAACGCCCTTGTACATGACTTTCGCGCTGATCTTTTTGGCTTCTGATTTTGGGAGGTCGGTGATTGAAGAGTTGAACTGAACGTTTTGAAGCGTAATGATGCGAGAACTAACACGCTCAAAACACGGACGATGAACTTCCCTGGCCTGTGCTGCTCTACTGGATGTTTATAGAACCATTCCTCCGGTAGCAAATTTCCTTGAACTGTAGCTCATTAAGAATGACCGCCAGAAATGGTGCGTGGCAAACTGAAAAAAAAATGAATCAGACTTGGGTTATTGACATTAGCCGCAATCATTTCCATCTAAGTAGGAGCAAGGAGTTCCAGCTTCAGTTCTATACAACCATCAACCATGCATTTTCGTGCGCCAGTTTCGGTTGCTGTCTTTTGACTGTCCATTTGAATAAAAGACCAGACTGAAGAATGGAATGCTGAAAGCAAATTCAAGCCGAAGATTAAAAAACTCATATAGACCGAGGTTGCAAGAATAATAAGTCGATGCATGAACGCCACTGTTCATGACACAGCCATATCATTCAGTGTCTCTAACCATCGGGTACGATCATCCCAAGGTCCCCAGCCAGGGAGTCTAACGGGACCCATGTGACCCAGACTCCTGGTTACGGTTTCCATACCCTCATGCCAGCTCTTAGGTTGACCACCCTTGGCTTTCTTCCAACCACTACCTGCCTCGACGAACATCGCTCACCGTGGAAATCTATTCTCTGGTGACATGTATAACACATGCCCCAACCAACGTAATCTATGAAGGTCGACCACTTGCTCCCATGGGCGACCGCGGTTACCCGAAACTCTGCGCCTAACCTCGGCATTGCTCGTCCGGTTGCCCCACCAGATTCGTGCAATGCTGCATAGACAGCGGTGTTCAAACACCGACAGTCTATCTTTGTCCTGTTTTCTTAATGGCCACGTTTCTGCGCCGTATAGCAGAACTGGCCGAACTGTCGCAGCATCCACTCGACCCTTCACAGACAGAGCCGGATGTCGCGACGATGACACAGATGTCTCACGTTGGCAAATGCCAACCGTGCTTTCTGTATGCGAGCTGACACTCCATCCGTGATGCGTTCACCGGGTGAGATGTAGCTGTCCAAACAACAAAACCTAAGCACTTGCTCTATTACTCCCCCAGTTAGACTGGGGTTAGCTGCTGAACTAACCCAGTCTTGTAGTAACATTTTACACTTGAAGGTGCAAAACGCATACCGAACATCGCTACACTGGCATTTAAACTGTTCAGAAAAGCCTGAAAATTACCTGGATCTTCACTGAGCAGCACAATATCGTCCTCATACTCTAGATCAGACAGTCTGGAAGCAGTGAATAGAACCGGGCGAAAATCCTATTCATCTTTAAAAACGCTGCTTACCGTGAGGAGCAGAATATATTTAAGGGGATTGTATATGGAATTAGGGCTCCTGCGTACGCAGGACTGCATCAAGTGACATTTCGCTGCATTTGAAATTCACGTATGTCGGGCCACGGTACAATCGGTTCTGCTTTCGGGTGCTGTGAATTTGAGAGTAGAACACATCCATCGAATAAAGGTTTTCGAAATTAGATGTTCACGTAATTTGGCACGAGCGAATAAGCAACACCGAGATAAACTAGCACGTGTTCGAGATTGGTTCGGTGGGAAATAGCATCGATTTGAGATCGTTGCGTTTCTCCGGTGAAAACGCGCGTTGCGAAGCTACTAATCAAGGTTGCAGAAAATCATGTGTGGGTCAACAGATGACATATGAAGAAACGCTCTGAGAGAGATTAGGTATGGCAAATGTCTCCCACCTTCCGAAAACATCAGTAACTCGTGGGTTAGAGACAGTGAATAACCTGACAATAAGCCGATAGCAATGGAGTTTTACTTGTCAATTCTTATGAGATGAAAATGCTTTAAGCGTGCACACAGTTACTGTTTATTCTGTGCTGACATTGGGGGTTCACTTTCCCTTATTTTCCTTCTAAAATATTGACTTTTCATCTGCCGTACACATCCAACTTACTTCGCAAATATTGCTGCCTCTGCAGCGATCGCTGAAGTTCATTTCGCCTCATTTGGTTTGGTCTATGATTTGTATCGAGTGCGGAAGTAGCTAGGTGAAGGTTCAAGGCATTTAGAATGTGATCATTTGTATGCATACAGTAATCCTCGTAGATACGGAGTGCCGGCATGAGAACCTTTGTCAGAGAACTTGATCATAGTGGTTGTATAAGGCTCATTGGGGACGTCGTGATCAGTCTAATCAATGGTTACAGGCGCTGTGGAGGGTATGGCTGTATGCCGTAGACAGTGATAGTCGTGAATCCACTCGGTTTATACATAAAATCAACTAATTCGGAGTGTGAACCTTAGTATCGGGTTATGGTGAAGTTAACTATTCACACTGTACCATTGTGCGCCAGCATTTATGGCTCCGGATCTGAATGAACGAGTAGACGGCCGGGGGGTAGTAAAAAGACAAGAGCGTGCCATAATGCATATATTGTGCAGTTTAACTAATTCAGCGATGAGCGTCACTGCTCACTCTGTCTCGGTACTGCTTCCTCATCTTAGTACCTCTTTCTTCGTTGACCAATTAAATAAGTAGCTAGAAGACGGAAGTCGAAACTGGTGCACAGATGTGTGAGAATAATGATCGCACAAACTGAAAGCTGTCCGAACGAAATTCACATACCATTTTCTGTGGAAATTAAATTAAATTAAACATAAATCATGCTGTAATTGATGACCGATGATGCAAGCATATTTAGAACTTCCTCTTATTCTTGCCCATGTCCGCGGATTTTTAAATTGTAATCGCAACCTAGGCCCAGTAAGATGCCCAATACATTTCATCATCAATGACCGTCGTCCCAAAGGAAAGCTACTTTGTAACGTTCAAAGCAACCGAATATCTATAAACACAAGAACGGATAACTTTTAATTAACATGCCACAATTGAATGCGTTTTCCCGTGAATAAAACACAATAGATTGTGCATCGGGTCTCGGTAAAACAATTGTAGAAGAAGTTGCCACCAACTGAAGGTTGGTATGTGTGATATGCGGAAAAACCTGATTCGGTAATACTGGTGAGGTTTATCCGCAAAGACAAAAGAACTCAACTTCCAGAAAGAATGAACATCAATGCAAAGAAATTATAAAGCAGTGAGAACCCTGACTGAATCAAAGCTAATTAGGCTAGATTAAAATGTGAAAAGAGAAGTTTATAAGAAATCAAATTTGTCTGAAAATCGATTCCGCACATAAACAAAATGAAGCGATAGTCGGAAACAGATGATGTCAAAGATAACTGACTGTGTATCACAATCTTCAACGTTCAAAATCACTTACCACTAGGCGCACATCCTTCTCCAACAACTCCTGTCGCATAACCAGATTGCTTTGAAATGCACAAGTGACGTGAAAAGCTACTTTGCACTTCTTATTGTAACATTGAATGGGAGCACCATAGCGAGAACGACAGATGCAACAGAGGAGACTACGACGGGCTTGTGGAATACTATCCAGTTTAATTACTGGTTCCATCAACTCAACGTTGCCAAATCCAACTTCCGGTACCCAAAGAGCACAGCTAATATGACACCATCGAATCCCATCACTAAAAGCATGACAAAACAAGTTATATACCTACTTGGCTTTCTTCATCGCGCCCCCAGTGTTTGGACAGAGGGAACACGGGGTCGTCGACTTTGCACCGGCCTCACATCTTCGACAAATCCATGAGCCTTCAGGAAGGCTTGGTATTCCGTAACAAGCTTGGTGAACGCATAGAAAACAACTGTCGCAAAACACCAATTCGTTACCATCTTCCCCCTCATACTAAAAAAGTGAATCTTCAAAAAGTATAAATTACCGATAAACAAACATCACATTTGGCATTTTCATCAAATTCAAGTGCCTCGCCTTCAAGTTCTTTGATTTTTTCTTGCATTCGTAGAAAAGTCAAGTGTTCCAATGCTTCGATGACCTCTTCCAACATCCAGTCGCTGATGAGCGCCTCCCCCAGGCACTCACGTTCCTCATTGGCAGTGGTTACCCAAGCCTGGTCGAAGTCATCTATGTGATAAACGGGCATACGCCTAATTTCTTTGTTCAGACAATGTAGGCCTGAATTGTAACGGTCATCTTCCTCTTCATGCCAAAGCTTCTCATAGCTAAGAGAAATATATAGATTCAATCACAATTACTTCATTTTTTGTACCGATTTCCGAGTTACCACAGGGATGTCAGTTTTTCTATTGATGAAATTAACGTACAATAGCACTTACCGGAAAGAAGGGACGGGCAACTCATGAAGAGCGTGCACAGGAACTTGGACGCCATTTTTATGCCATTCGGATTTCCAGGGGTTTTCAATGAGAACCATATGCTCACTCTTTCCCGCTTCCGATTCGGAACTGAGGATCATCTCCGACAGCGGATGGGTATCGAAAACCTGGAATGGTGTTTGTCGAGAACCAACTGCCTTACCTCGGCAGGCTTGGAGTCATTTTTAGATGTGGGCTGATGTATCCAGTCGTGTAAAATGTGAGTGACTTCCTTCAGACGAGGCATTATTCTGCAACAGTAGAGAATACTAATGTTAATTACTTAATGGTATTCATGTTGGGCAGCGGCGGCCAAAGGACTAAATTTACAGTTCAAGTGCCTGGAGGTTGTTTAAATTGCGACATTGCTACCTACTTTCCTTGTTTTTGTGCCCTCACGCAGTCTTTCACGGGCCGCAGTTCTCTTCTTAAAAATCGACAGTGTAGTTGCATATTCAATAAAATAAAAGATTATTATTACTGCAGATGCGACGGAAAATCCGTATAAAACAAGTTACTGAAAAGCTCAAAAGCACTGTACAGATATTTTGACTCATTTGGGCTCCACCAGCAATAAAAGATCCAACGGACCAAAACATCTCTACAATGCTCGCGAACTCTTCACTTTGTTCCCTTCGTTCGGCGTAAGGCGATAGTTATTACATAATCCAATTGGATTTTTTTCTACTGTTGCAATAATAATAGTTGTAGTTATAGAGAAAGAATCACGAAACACATGATGAGAACACGAAATTGGTGAACAAGCTCGTTTTCAGTGCATTTTGGGCATGCCATCACTACACAATATACATTACCAGTTACATATGGGGATTTAGAAAGCAAGAGGAAAGCAATTGAAATGTTCGTCAGTATGTATCATAAGTGGTTCTCACTTTGAATGTGAGTGACCCAAATTCGTTGGAAATCAAATATCATTCGTTCGGATGTTACATGGCGTACTGCTTGTTGGCAACCCGGCTATGGTAGCTTGAGTATTTGCACAAATTGCTTTTGAGCACATAAAGGGGGCGTTGTGGAGACAGATGATGCCCGCGTCCGCTGTGGCTAGAATACGGAAACACGCGTCTAGACAATCTCGTTTCAACTCTGTACAGTGGTCAAAATTGGCCAAGTACCCTAGAAAAACACCCATCACGAGACTGCATCTTGACGTGGTGCGACGGCTCGTGTTCCTCTGAATCAACGAGTTACACTGGATGGCTTTTGCTAAGTTAAAGATCTAATCATGTCTGGAAGATGGAAGAGTAGACGTTAGAGGAAGTCTAGTCTCCTGGTGCTTCGGGCTGGGGGTTTGTCACCAGTTGGTGTATCAGTCCGTGAAATGGTAGAGGGATAATCGATACAAGTAAACGATCACCATCTTCGCTTAATCCGATACCTTATGGATAGGTTCTTGCCATAACTCCAGGATTTGGTTGAGAACCCTAATCGTTCGCCTGCTTAGTGGCTGGGCACACTAGCAGTACCCGTCGATCGAAATCCAGTGAAAACTAACTACAGAGGAACCCATATTGCATCAGATATCGTGCAGGTTAATCAGGACTGCGCTTCCCATGGCATCGAGAAGCGCGAATAGTGATAATTGGGTGACTGTTCATACATAAAAAAGTTTGTTCAATTCTGTTTTCAAAATCAAACACTTCTTTTTTCCCTTCTTCCGACTCAGAATATTCCATTAGACATCCTGTTAATCACTCGCCAAAGCTAGTTGCCGAATAGCAGACCAAGTAATTTTACCTCGAAATGGAATGTAGGTTCTGAAATCCTGTCTATCTCCGCATCTAGAGGCCTTTGGTGAACGTGAACAAGCAAGTCTGTCTGGCGCGTACAATGAACTCCTTAGCTATAGGTGTCGCTGCATATCAGAGACATGCATTCAGGATCCTAGTATTAAAGCTACTTAAGTGCGCCGGACAAGTCTTCAAGGTACTTTCTCTGCACATCAGGTGACGACGAAGCCCGTTCAGGTCAGCGTGGAGTGGGTATTGTAATCCACCATTGGGCTGAAGCCTTACCGATTGCATCTCCGTCAACAGTCGCTTACGTGCGAAGCGGCTCCAAGGGTTTATCAGCGTGCGAAAGGAGAGCAACAATAAAAGGTGTTTGTTCACCATATCAGCATATGCACCGACCAACTGCAGTTCTGAAGTACAAAAGGACGATTTCTACGACAAACCCACTTAACTTATTCGGTTAAGCCGAAACTCCGATGTAGTTGTGCTTACAGGTGAATTTAACGCTCATACAGGAAAACCAAGCGCGCTTCGGAAGCTTGCCCAAGCGGTCGTTGTGCTCTGCCCAGTTAAACGGGAACGCTACATGGAATCGGTCACAGCAATAAGATACTGTTGGCGTGGCTCAGGACGAAAGTGCAAGTTCTTTGGACTAACTGCGTTCAGTGTAACCACGCATTAGTTTAGATGGTGGTTGTCATAAACTGATGCGTTACCCTTTTTCATATGGAACTTTATTAACTCTTTCTTTGTTGACATTGTGGCTTTTGTACTACGATTGTTAGAAGATTAAAGCCTATATAAGGCTAGACTCCCCTTCTGCTTTACGACGCATCTCTCGAATATAACAATTTATTCTTCTAACAATGGAACATCTCTTCCTCTCCGAACGCTTTGATGCTGATCCTCATTCTCCTACAGCAGCCGAGTAATGGATCCATTGGCGGGACACCTTCGACAATTTTCTTTCAACGGTAGAGATCCTCGACTTCGACACAAGAAAACTCCCTATCAACTTCATATATCCAGCAATTTATCGACAAGTTATCGACCTTTTCACTTACGAGGGGGTGCTACGAAGCTCTGTATATCAAACCGAAAAACGAAGTCTTTGCGCGCCACATATTAGCAACAACTAAACAAGAAAATGGACAGTCAGTTTATACAGAAACTACGCATCCTCGCTGTTGACTGTAACTTCTTGTCAGTTTCTGCTGAAAAGCATCGTGACGAGGCCATCCGCGACGCCTTCATTACAGGACTAATGTCTAATAGCATTCGCCAACGACTTTTGGAGAAGTACAATCTTGATCTTCAACATGCATTCGAAGAAACTCGCATGTTGGAACATGCTCAGCAACAGTCACAACTCTGTGATTCAACCTCTTATGTCCCATGCGTTGCTACATTCATGCAATCAGCAGTTACAGCTCCGGTTCCTGTACGAGATGCTTCGGAACCTCAAACAGAAAGACAGGAAGTAATCGGAGCGGTGTCTACCCTCTGCTTTTTCTGTGGGCGACCAAGACACCCTTGCTCCAAATGTTCCGCCAGGAAACTATTTTTAATTCATGTGGGAAGAAGGGACATTTCCAAGGGGTCTGTCGATCCAATCCTAAAACCAAACGCACAATTTCAGCCATAAATCCCACCATCTCATCACTCATCGCTACGTCATCATCTACTGGGCTGTCTAAATCTACAGTGCTTATTCACATTAATGGAGTACCGATGTACGCGCTTATATTCCGGCGAAACACAACTGGCCTGTGGAGCCTTCTAAAAGCACCATATCCATGGCTTCGACGCGCCTATCTTGTATCACTTCTGGGCATGTTTACGCCTCTGTACACTATAAAAACAATCACTATGACGGAATTAAACGTTCCCTTTTAAACAATCTGTGCACGGATATAATTTTGGGTCCCGATTTTCTCAGTCAACATAGAAACATAGTTATTCCCTTTCACGGACACCGACCATCTCTCTCCCTATGTGCTATCAAGGCTGCACACATCGATGCTCCTCCCCTATTCAGGCATTTATCGCCCAATTGTGTTTCCATCGCTACCAAATCACGCCTGTCACTGCCTCGGATCTGTCGTTCATCGAGACTGAAATCCGAAAGTTATTGATCGTCCATATTATTGAGCCTTCAGACTCACCCTGGCAAGCGCAAGTCCTTGTGACTACAAATGAGAAACACAAGAAACGCATGGTTGTCAACTACAGTCAAATAAATCGATTCACTTGTACTGATGCATACCCTCTCCCAAAGGTTGGACTGGTAGAGGTCTCACTACTCCCTCTTCAGTACCTTCGATCTTCGAAGTGCTTACCATCAAATCCCCATCCGCGAAGAAGATAAACCTTATACAGCCTTTGAGGCATGCGGTAAGCTGTATCAATTCCGCAGCCTCGCATTCGGAGTTACGAACGGAGTGGCCTGCTTCCAACGCGCTATAGATAATACTATCCGTCAAGAAGGCTTAAGAGATACTTTTGCCAATGTCACTGTTTGCGGCTGTAATGCACGAGAGCACAATGCAAACCTCACGAGCTTTCTGGAGGCTTCCGATAGACGTGGAATAACGTTCAACGAAAGTAGGAGTATCATTTCTGTCACCAAGATTCAACCCCTCAGATACGAAATCATACATGGGAATGCGCTAAGTGCCACGGCGGAGCGCTCGCTTCTTGACTGGAGTCCGGTCTGTAGCCGACTGTGCGCTGTACGTCTCAACGGTTCAGCACGGGTCAACAGTCACAGAATGAAGCGCCAATGCTTTTTCGTCGTATCAGTGTATGCACCGACCGATTGCAGTACACCTGAAATCAAGGATGAATTCTACAAGGATCTTTCCCAATTACTCCAAAGTGTTTGACCAACGGACGTCATAGTAGTCACCGGATACTTCATTGATCAAGTGGGATCCCTGAAAGAATCAGAAAGGCTTCTTGGCAGACCGCATGCAATCCCAGCCAACCGGACGGACAACGGAGATGGTCTACTTCAACTCTGCACGGACCACGGATTGTTCTTGTCAAACAAAAACTTATCACACAAGAAAGTCACCGTCTTACATGGAAACCGCCAACCTCTTCTCAAAGCTGGAACCAGATCGACCACATCGCTATCAGTTACCGCTGGAGGGGATCAAGGCAAGATTACCGCTCTTACTGGTCAACAGCTGTGGATACAGACCACGCCTTGTTACGAGCCAAATTCTCCCTACGCCTGGCAAGCAACCGCTGAAAAGCTACCGACAACGGATACCCACAATACAGCGTCCGCGATGGCTGCAAATCGGCTTTTGAAGCGGAGCTCTCCAATTGCTTGTCAGTTCAGCCACCAGTCGAAGGACTCAATGAACACTGGAAGCAATGCAAATATCATTAAAAACTACGTAGGACCCTGGTGTTGGTTCAAAGTACAAACGATGGATCTCGTCGACCTCGGCTGCCCTGCTGGACGCCCGCAGAACCCTGCCTC